GGGGGGGGGGGGGGGGGCGCTAGCTCTGCGTCTCCCTGGTCTGCTAGGGGGAAGTGCCCCCCGCGCTGCCAGAGGCAGCGACAGTGGGGGAGGCACCCCGCACTAGCGGGGCCCCCCCCCCGGTTCATAACTAGGGGTCCGACTTAAGTCAGACCCACGTAACCCGGGAACTGCCTGTATTGGAATGCACATGAACAATCACTCGAAGAAGAAAGAACGGTTAATTACCTTGTAACTGATTCTTTGAGGTGTGTTGCTCATGTCCATTCCAAATCACCGCCCTTTATCTGGAATAGGCTGGTAAGAAGGAACAGAGTGAGTAAGGGGGCCAGCAAGGGTATATATGGGCTGGTATACTGGCACCACTCCAGGGGGCTCCCCCGATGGCCCTAAGGGTACTGCTGAGGGAAAATCTTCTGAAGGCGCATGCACGCTGCGCACACACACCTATATTGGACTGGACATGAGCAACATATCTCGAAGAATCAGTTACGAGGTAAGTAACCGTTCTTTGGATTCATTCTGTAATCCTTGCTGATGTATTGGGAGATGTATGGATTAAAAAACTGTGGGACAGATGCATGTTCTTCTTGACAAGTGAAAGCCAACATGAAATTGTTGGTATTATTGCTAGATATTTCTTGAGGGTACAGGTAATGCGTCCTTTCTTAAAACAAACAGAACTCTTCTCCTTTTCTTCTCCAATCCTAATCCTTAAAGAAAATCTCTTGATCTGATTGTTGGCAATTATAGCTCTTTCTGCAGTCTCCCATTTAATTGGAGGTTTTGGTAAAAGAACTCTGCTATAACTGGTATGTTGAGTTCTCCTTGACTGTAGGTTGTACACCTGAGTATAGAATAGAAATTACTCTAGTGGTTTTTAATGAAACATTGGATTTTGGTTATTCATAATGAAGTTCCTTATGTCTTTATTTTCTTTTAAGCAGTTGATCCCTGTGAAGTATGGTGCAGTAAGCCAATTCATGTACTGAAAGACTATTGCGATGTGATTAAAATATACGTTGTTTGGCCATTTCTGCTTCAACTTGAAACTCATCCTGAAGTAACTGCTAACCACACACGTTTCAGGTAAGTATTCATGCATTTGTATTGGTGAAGCTTGTCCTTTACAATTTTGGTTTGATTCTAATGTAGAAGATTTCTGTGAATTTAGTGAATAGATGCATAAGTGCTAAAAGTGCCCACAATAATGCTTGTCTGGCCACGAGCATATTTGGGTATAATAGGGTCCTCCCAAATTCACAATTCATTTTGTCAGTTTCATGATCGTAGTATTTTAAACATTGTAAATGTCATGATTTCAGTTACTTAAATACGAAATTTCATAGTGTTCTAATTGTAGGGGTCCTGACTGAAGGAGGAGTTGAGGGAGGGTTGCAAGGTTATTGTAAGGAGTTGCAATACTGCTACCCTTACTTCTGTGTGGCTGCTAGTGGTGGTGCTGCTTTCAGAGCTGGGTGGCTGGAGAGTGGTGGCTGCTGAACAGGAGCCCAGCTCTGCTATTGTCGCTAGTAGTGCAGAAGTAAGGATGACATGGTGTGGTTTTGCCACCCTCTCTGCAGCTACCTTCAGAGCTGAGCCCTTGATCAGCAGTCACCAATCTCTGAAGGCAGACACACACAAGTGAGGGTGACCTGGCATGGTATTGCCACCTTTACTTCTGTGCTGCTGGCAGGGTACTGCCTTAAGAGCTGGTGGGGAGAGCATGTTGGGCTAGAGGGCCAGCACTAGCTCACTCTGCAGTAGGGGAGTGGGAGTGGTGCCGGATCAAGGCAAGCCGTATGCAGTAGGTTCCCTACCCCTTCTTTAGGCCTTCTAGTAAGACTATAGAAAAAAGCCCTTACATTACACTTACTTGCTCGCTGTTTTGGTCTCTGCTACCCTGTGGGCATGCATCCTTCCCCTTTACAAAGCTCTGGGAAGTATCTGACAGCTGAGCATGCCACTTTCTTTAGGGAATAAATTGCAGATCATTCATGAGGAATGGCCTGTTCTGTCCTGTACTAGAAAAACTGCAGCAGGCAGACTGCTGATGCAAGGGATGGGTTGGCAGGATGGACTGCCATGCTATTTTGATATTTGTCAGCATGGAGCACTCATAGAACTTCTCAGGATGCTGATCTTAGCAGCTGAAGTGGAACTCAGAGAACCATGGGCAAGCAGAGTAGGCTGCTATGGGAGAGACTGAGTTGTGCTAAGCAGAGCTGAGGGGCGGGGGAAGGGTGTCCCCCTAACTAGGGATGTTAAATTTTGATTAATTAACTAGTCAAATAGTCTATGGGATTTTCATCAACTATTGGATTAGCCTATCAGTGCTCTTACTACATTTGAAAAGCAGAAGCCCCACATTCTGGGAATGCGAGGCCATTGAAGGAGTCCCTTGCTGGCCCCGTGCTCCTTCTGGGGCTTCTGGTTTATGTATCAAAAGCAGAATCACAGGAGAAGGGACACAAGTGAGGACTGCTTCAGTCCCTGTTTACGTCATTTCCTGCTGTGCCTCTGCCTCCCCAGCCCTCCTTGGAGCCAGTGCTGGGGGGAACTGGCTTTTAACCAGGCTCCTGCTGTTCTCTCTTTCCCCTCCTCCCCCACCCCTGCTGCCTCTCTCTGATGGAAGCGGCAAGGGGGTGAGCGACTAGTTACATCGCTAGTCAACTATCCAATAAGCTTTTGCTTGTCACATAGTTGACTAGTCTCTTACATCCCTATCCCTAACCCTGTCTCAGGATGAGTCTGTCAGCCTAATGTGTGTGTTTCTCCCCATCCCTCCCACCCCCGGACACAACACTCTAATTTCTGTCCCCTCACTCACTTTAGTTGAGAAAGTGGATGTCAGTCTACTAGGATACATGTTTTTCAATGATCCATAGTTGTAGGTGCATCACATGATATTGTACCTGCCCCGTAGGGCATTGCAGCCCCTTCCCAAAGCAATCTGTAATCAGCAGCCAGTTGCACAGTGGGATGTTTAGCACCAGGCATTGCTCTCTGTTGTTGCAAGAATTATTAATGTTGATGCATGCTTCCAACATAAACAGTTTTTGTGGACAGGATACTGCAGATTTAATTAAAGCTGCATAACTTTTGCTACCAAAACCTTGTAGTGTAGACCAAGCATTAGATTCTGAATATCAGAGATAAACTCTTTAAAGATGGATGCCTGTTATTAAACAACCAAATCATTGCCCTGGTTTTTGAAAGTGCTAAACACCTTGCAGCTCCCATTGATTATCCATTTTTAAGAGCTTGATCTAGATTCCTAGATAGATCTATAGAAGTTTGTCTTTAACTTGAATATTAATAGCTAAGATTATGTAATAGGACACAAATTACCTTTCTAAAAACTGTTTTCATTTAAGTTTGAAGAGGCTCCAGAATATTGAGGTTCTGGAAGACTTGGTCGACTTGTCTAAGAAAGTTGTGGTAAGTGGTGTGATATAATTTACATGTTTTCAAATGTGTTAGACTGATTAATTAGCATACCATGGTACAGATCTTGATCTGTATGTTAAATTAGTTCAAGACAGTTGTTTCTGCAAGGGTGAATAAGTATGTTGACATCTTTTTTTGGTTGCTCTATGGGTGACTGTTCTTGAAAGGAAAAGAAAACGAGTCAGTGATGTCTGCAGGAAAACTAGCCTTAGTGCATTGGTGGGCCACCAGTGGCCCATTGGGGTTCTATATGTGGCCTGCAGACATTGTTTACTATTGCTCATGTGCAGGATTGGGCATCCTATCAAAGGACTGCTATGGTTCAGTCAGCACACTGCAAATTCTAGGTATTCAAGCACAGTTACCGGAATTTAGCGAATATAGCAACCCCCCCCCTTGCAGGGCATACTCGGATGTGAGGTATACAGAATTTTTTTTTACTCACCAGATGGTGAGTTGCCTCTTCCTGTGGCTGCGCAGCTGCCAGCCTCCGGGCGGGGGAGCACTCACTCCCCGGTTCCTGCGAAGCTGCAGGAAGGGCCAGGGGAGCGCTCATCCCCAACTTCCTGGCCGCCCGCCTCCAGCC